AAAAGTTATAATCTGAAACTTACCAGTCATGGAAGGCGCCAATTAGACCCCGGTCATAAATAGCAGGTAAAGTATTCACCGTAGTTGCAGGAACTACGTTCATAACCCAAACAGGCCATGTACTCAAAGCAACAGCAAATCCACCTAGGAAAGCACTCATGTCCATGACATTCCTAACTTCATTCTCTTCAACATCCATCAGTCTCCAGTAGTGACGAACTTGATCCTGCCAGTAGATTGTATCTGATAAGAACTTTTCTCGATTGATACCTGCACCAATTACATGATATAATGATACACGACTACTAAATACAAGATTAATACGTGAAAGATCTCACACTGTAGAGGAAACCCAAAATGACAATGTGATCTACTAGCAAATAAGCAATCAATCAAGTATACCACATGGCACGTATGATTGTTTTGAAGACTTTCTTTATTTCTGTAACTGAAAAATGTATCCTTAGCCAAGGAGAAGTTCGAATATAAATTCATGATTGAAAATGTTCAGCCACTGCAGAAGCATGGTTGGGGCACATATGGCTTCAAAGGAACACAATATTCATTACATGTAAATTCATAAGAAGCTTTGACATCCTCTTCCTACTGGAACACTCTCTTCATCATATAATATATAAATGAATATCCAAAAGGAACTTAATTCTCTCGACTAGTAACAAAAAAGAGATTTTATTATACAGTTCATCCCAATAATCACCAGATTATGAAGTCCAGTTATAAAAAGATGCAACAATCAAAATTACTATATATTACATACTGCTGAAATTAATTAGAGAAATGAACTCAAGTTGCCTGAAAAGGAAACGCTTTCAGTTATGTACCTAGGTTACTGAGAGTTCTAGAATACTCTGAAAGACGCTGTGGCCTGGGAGGCAGAGTCTGAGAAACACGGGGCGTTATACAGTTCCTCAAAGGTGTTTTCCACGAGGGTTTAGAATCATCCACAGGATCACATAGGCTTAGAAGCTTCTCCTGTGCATTGTGCTCAAGACATGAGTTGTTCTCTGGCTTTGTCCAGATTGCTGTCTGCACTTCCCTAGCAATGAGTTTCCAGCACATTGCAGAAGTCAGATTCATCAACTTATTCCAAATCACTGGAAAATCTTTATCTTTCCTATAAGCAGGTGGAGCAGAGTAGACAAAATATCCATTTGATCGCAGTAGGCGATC